CCCCAGTAGCGCCAACCGCATTCAATGCGCTTCAATGCGCATTGAAATGCACATAAAAGGTTACACATTGGTGACGCATTAAAAGCGCATTACAGCATTTAAGACGCATTCAATGCGCATTTAATGCACTCTACGCGCATTTAATGCGTCACCAATGTGTGACATTTTATGTGCATTTCAATGCGCATTGAAGCGCATTTAATGCAGTAGCGCTTCTGGGGCGGGACGGCTCGATGCGCACGACCAGCGCCTTTTTGATTTTAGCATAAACACTGATTTTACTCCGACCTCCGACCACAGACTTCGACTTCCGACATGAGATGGTGCAAACCCTGACCTCTCTCCGACATCCTTCGGACGTCGGAAATATGTCGGTGGTCGGTTAGGTCGGGATTTTGTCGGTTTATTGGTCTGAGGACACACAACTGAGCCTTCTGCCCCACCCGATCTAAAATAAATTGTTTGCTTTTGGGTTGCGGATGAGTCGTTTGGGCATACAGAAAGCGTTCTCGGTTCCTAGTTCGCTTTCAATTCGGTACATATCGCAAAGGGGTCATTTCGCGAGTTCTGACGTACCCAGAGCAAACATTCCTCATGCTGCTCGAAAATGTTCGCCAATGGTTCGGCTCTCGGCGGTCTTTTTCACGCTTTTGCTCGGATTCGATCCCGAGACTCTGACTTACTGGCTCGAGTCGCTACGACTGCGGCTAGTGCGCTTGCTGACGACCTGCGTGCAAAACCTCACTGTTCTGTCGAGTTGGGCCAAGCAACGAATGCGCGCGAACGTACTGAAGTGAGCGACTCAAAAGTTAGCTTTTCGCGCACATAGGCGGCCCAATCGCACTCCGGTGGCCCGCTGACGAGCTCCTCGCTCACACGAGCGACCTAGAGCGAACCCGTGGCTAACGGAGGCAAATACTGACGACTCTATGGCGTAATATCTGAGCGAACCTGAGCGAACGTCTTGTGCGAGCCTATGGCAAATTGGAACGAACTCAGGCAATCCCTTGGTAAAATACGTGAGCGAACCCTAGCGATCTTGATGCACCTAGCGCGCGTATAGCAGCAAATCAAAAGCAACTGCTTCGCAACCCAAAAGCGTACAATTCATTTCGGATCGGGTGGCTACTGCGCACTCACTTTCATACCTAATCGCTTCCACCCAGCTTCCCGCAGGTGCGCTTCAGGTTCCCTACGGCTCCGCACTCCACGCTCAAGAGATGCAAGCTCCGTGCCCGTCTTTACCGTCGCTTGGATTCTTTGGATTGGCCGCGCGGCGACGCCCTCGCGTGCCCGGGGTATGTGCCGAAGGGTGCGCCGCGGCTCTGGGGCGACCTCCCGGAGGCACTAGGGAGGATGGATGGGCTGCGGTCAAACTAGGAGGAGGGGGCGGGGGGTAGCACGGATCGGGGCCCTGGGCGGTTCAGCGCCCCCCGCCTGCTCATCATCGCTACACTCACAGTACCGACGGCGCAGTGCAGCGCCCCCGGGATCTTGAACGCCGTGTCAGAGCTTCTACAAAGGACCGCATAACCAGAGGGGTACCAGCCGTGTTAAAGCGCCGTACCAATTTCGCCGCACTAGCGCTCCCCGTGGCGCGATCGCCTAAATACTCGCCCGGCGCGCCCGGCTCGGCGCGGCTCGGCTGGCGTGATCGCCGCCGCAGGCGGCGGGCAGCGCAGCGAGCGCAGCACCTAGCGAGGCAGCACGGCACGGACGGAGCGCAGCCCAGGCGCCTTTTGGACGTTTTCACAGGGCCATAACTCCTGAACTGTTGCAGATATTAGTGTTATGTTTGCTGTGAGTTGTTAGCAGTCTTCCATAGTTGTTTATTCTACAATTTGAGACCGATCCTTCTCTCCTCTAATCCAGTAAATGCTGGCGAAGTTGGCCCTTTGGCTGAGTAGTCTCTGCCGTGCTCCAGCCGCCTTTAGTCGTTTTGGTAGTTTTCGCAATGCTTTAATTCCTGAACAGTTGCAGATAGGGGAGAGCGGGGCAGTTTGAGGAACGTTTCGTTTTTTGGCTCTAAAAACTGAACTATTTGTCGCACAGACCTGACGTTTTGACACAAGGAAGGTGGCATTGGCATGTATCAACCCTTTAAAGCGCGTTGCAATGCGGTGTCTTTGTGAGGAGATATAGCCAGTTCCTCATACTACCCCGCATTCCTCAATCTACCCCATGTGCGGGGCAATATGCGGAACGCCGTGGGGTAGTTTGAGGAATGGCCTTTTGCTCTTCGTCAATAAATCGCATGGTATCGTGCTTTACAGCGTCTATGCATCGCCTCCTTCCCTTCACTGAGTCAACATTGCACATCTGTACCTCAAATAGTTTCGTTTTTAGAGCCAAAAAACTAAACGTTCCTCAATCCTACTAAAATATGGCCTTCCAGCGGGGCAACCCTATCGGCCACACGCTATAGCATGGGCTGGCCTATCCTCAATTTACCCCGTGCAGGTCTTCCTCAAACTACCCCGTTCTGCATTGATTCATTCAAACAATCCCTAAAAAATTACGGGGCGTTGTATCATACCGTCCGGCACGGCAAAATAAGCAGGAAGCATGTCTTCTCTTACACAAAAGGGCCCATCGCATCAGGGGCGCTCCGTAATATCGAAATTACATAATATATAAGGTGAAAAAACTCCCGTTTTGGCTGCCAACTTGTCTATTTTGACATTCGTAGTTTAAAAAACGCACCAGTTTACTCGCAGCTTTTACGTATGAACGTTTTTGAATGAAAGTACATTAGGACAATTTAGTACTCAACC